CAGGACAATGACCCAAACCTTTTTTCTGCATAACTCCTCCTCTGCTGGATCTTGTCAACACATCTCTGTTCCCTCCTCTTCAGATCTGGAGGTTTATTGCTGAGTGAAACACCTGCAAAGCCTGATTCACTGCAGAAACACGAGGTGTGCAGATCAGAGCTCAGAGCTGTTGCTGCTCTGCAGAAGATAAACAAACACAGTCATCCTTACTGAGAGCTGAAATGACGGGGAGCGATCAACCAGAACGAGATAAGTTGTTTTGTTTTATCTGTTCTGGTCTACTGAAGGACCCAGTGACTATTCCCTGCGGACACAGTTACTGTACGAACTGTATTAAAAACCACTGGGATGGAGAGGATCAGAGTGGAACTCACAGCTGCCCTCAGTGCAGAGATATATTTGGACAGAGACCTGGGTTAAGGAAAAACTCCATGATAGAAGAGTTGATTAAATATCTGAAGAAGATGGGAACTGCTCCAGCTGACCACTGTTATGCTGGACCTGAAGATGTGGCCTGCGATGTCTGCACAGGAAGGAAGAGGAAAGCTGTCAAGTCCTGTTTAACCTGTTTAGCTTCTTTTTGTGAGGATCATCTCCAACCTCACCACGATGCTCCACCTTTAAGAAAGCACAAGTTGGTGAATCCCTCCAAGAACCTCCGGGAGAGCAAATGCTCCCGTCATGACAGGGAGTTGGAGATTTTCTGTCGTCTGATCAGCAGTGTATCTGTTATCTCTGCACTATGGATGAACATAAAGGCCATGAAACAGTCCCAGCTGCAGCAGAAAGAGCTGAGAAGCAGAAGAAGCTCCAGGAGAGTCGACAACAAATCCATCAGAGAATCCAGGACCAAGAGAAAGATGTGAAGCTGCTTCAACAGGAGGTGGAGGGCATCAATGTCTCTGCTGATAAAGCAGTGGAGGACAGGGAGAAGATCTTCACTGAGCTGATCCGTCTCCTCCAGGAAAGAAGCTCTGATGTGAAGCAGCAGATCAGATCCCAGCAGGAAACTGAAGTGAGTCGAGTCAAAGATGTTCAGGAGAAGCTGCAGCAGGAGATCACTGAGCTGAAGAGGAAAGACGCTGAGCTGGAGCAGCTCTCACACACAGAGGATCACACCCAGTTTCTCCTCAACTACCTCTCACTGCCAGCACTCAGTGAGTCTACAGGATCATCCAGCATCATTGTTCGTCCTCTGAGACACTTGAGGATGTGACAGCAGCTGTGTCAGAGCTCAGAGACAAGCTACAGGACGTCCTGAGAGACTCATGGAACATTCAACTGGCAATAAGTGATGTTGATGTCCTACTGGCAGAACCAGAACCAAAGACCAGAGATGAGTTCCTAAAATATTCTCAAGAAATCACTCTGAATCCAAACACAGCAGACAGGAAGCTGTTATTATCTCAGGTGAACAAAAAAGTTACATCAACTGACCAACAACAGTCGTATCCGGATCATCCAGACAGATTCAGTGTTTATAATCAGGTCCTGCAGAGAGAGAGTCTGACTGAACGTTGTTACTGGGAGGTGGCGATGAGAGGTGGAGCTGGAGTTGGAGTCGCAGTTTCATACCAGAACATCAACAAGGCAGAACCGTTTGGATTCAACGACAAATCTTGGTCATTAAATTGTACCACAGACGGTTACACGTTTCATCACAACAAGATTAAAACTACAGTAGCAGGTCCAGTTTCCTCCAGACTGGGAGTGTATCTGGACCACAGAGCAGGTATTCTGTCTTTCTACAGCGTCTCTGGAACCATGACTCTGATCCACAGAGTCCAGACCAGATTCACTGAGCCGCTGCACGCTGGGCTCAGACCGCTCTTCAGTAAAGACTCTGTGGAGTTCATTAAACTGTGATCTGAGGTCCGGTTGGTTAAAATGTATATTTTAGTTTCGGTTGTTTAAACCTCCATCATTGTTGCTGAGAGATATTTGTTTTCATTTCCTCTCTGCTCAAAGATCAGCTGCATTTATGAAACTGCTGTTTGTTTTTGTTGTTGGAGTTTGTTTGGGTGCTGCCCCTTCCTGTTTCTGTTCAGCCACAGAAGCTGTCGCTGCTAAGGAGGATTTTTATTCACCCAAACTAATTTTATTTAGATTTTGCTTGTCAGATCAAATGTTGTTCAGATTACTGTACAGATGAGAAGATCAGATTATAAATCTATGTGTCAATAAAGTCGTTTTGTGACTCAGATTGTGTCTCTGTGTTTGTTTTTGGACAATGATATTTTATTTTTGTTTCATTACATTTTATTATCATGTTTACCAACCTTGTCTCTATGATATAAACCCTTTGAGAGTAATTCCAGACATACTTTGCATTTCAATGGGCAGGAAATGGGCTTTAATCACTTTTTTACAGACTTTTTTTTTTTTTTTACATTTTGACATTTTGAATGCATTGAATGCATATCTGTTTCTGAATTTAACAAATTAAATACAGTAAAAAAAAAAACAAAAAACAGAAATAATTATTTAGCCACATCTATCACAGGACAGTGATCACACAGATTACCATTAAAAATAATTTCTGCTGCTATATTAAAATATAATATGAAATCTTGCAAGGCAATGCGCTGCTCTGCTATGCATTGCTACTGCGGCCTCAGTAACTTAATTGCACATAATTAGTTTATAAATTTTATCTGACATTAATGATTTATTTCTCATTAATGGTTAAATTTGCTTTGAATTATGTTGTGTTTGTATTAAATATGTTTTTTGGGGAATTTTATGTCAAATGTTCCTGTTCTTCATGTCACATCAGGTGATTTGATTATTTTAATCAGATTTTAAATGACTTTGCCAGGCTGATCATGCCCTGGGAGAGGAAATAGGAGTAAGTAGGTCAGTCTAACGCGTTCACTGGAATAACAAACACAATATGATGTATAAATATACAGATACCTGCCCGGGGGCAGAATAACAGCTGAAGAGGTTTTTTACAGTAGGTGAGGTTTATTCTCACACATTTAATGTCACTAAACTCAGAGATTTAAAGACAGACAAAGAAAACTAAAAGTTTTTCATAATTAACACTTTCAGAAACATAAAGAAGAGTTCTCCACTACAGTGAAAGTATTCGCAGAACAGCAAGTTATGTTTTTGCCTGTCAAAGCGACAACAGTTGGACCAGTTGGACTTCCTGTTTAAACCTGCAGGTAAGGAAGAGAAAGAGAGAGAGAGAGAGAGAGAGAGAGAGAGAGAGAGAGAGAGAGAGAGAGAGAGAGAGAGAGAGAGAGAGAGAGAGAGAAGAAAGAGAGAGAAAGAGGGAGAGAGAGAGAGAGAGAGAGAAAGAGAGAGAAAGACAGAGACGCTCCGTTCACACTGCTACCTGAAGAGACCCAAATCTGTGAGATTTGATTTTTCTTTAGTTTTTGTGGTTGTTGTTCACACTGCGATCTGTTTGTTTCTTCTGTGTGAACCGCAAAGGACCTGAAAGTGCTCCGCATGCGCAGTAGAGGGCGCACTAATATCACATAAAGCGCCTCCAATGTTTTACCAACAATCGCCATACAAATAGAGAAGAAGTGGTCGTTTGCGGAAGTAAAGGTGGAAGCTAATACTGTAGCACATTTTACTATTTTGAAGTAGTTGTCAGACCGGAGCCAGCATATTAACAGTTTAATCCTGATTATAGTCCGCTATAGTTTTTGTTCCCGTTTGCGCGTATCAGATTATTGACGTTGGTCGATGATAGTATCCGATATCAGATATCCGATATGGTATGATTCTCTCTCTTTTTAAAAAAAAAATCATAATTAGTGTCTGATCGTAAAACTAATCTATAGGACATCAGTCGTTATTTTATTGGACAAATATCAGATTCTGGATCAACTGACAAAAGTTGTATTGTGACTCACTTTGTACTATTATTTATGATTCTGTCTTGCTTTGCATTTTTTTGTGTTCCTTTTGCTTTTTATTATATTTATCAGTATCCTTTCCAAATATCAGAAATAGTTGTAGTTTTCAGATGAGAATAAATTGGATTCATGTTTTTGTTGCTCCAGGCTGAGATCTGTTTTCTATCTCCAGATGGAAAACAGTTCAGGATCTCCTAAAGTCCGGAAAGTCCAGAAAACACCGAGTCCACAGACTGAGGCTGAAATATCCCACTCTGAACACAAGGCTGAAACAAAGGTGTGGACAATTCTGAAATCTGGCCACCAGATGCGCCAAATAAAGCAGAAGACAACTGAGTGCATTTACTTAGTTTCTAGGATAAACCAAAATAAAAAGTGGAATTGTAGAAATATGTCTAAATACAAACACCATGTTTTCCACACAGTTTTTTAATTTTGTTCAAAATAAAAAAACAATTTGTCTCAAACCCAGAACAACAACAACAGAAAAAAAACATTAATGCTTGATTATTTACATGTGCTGCCAAAAAACAAACAAATCAAATGAAAAATTGACTCATCTTCATATATTAGCTTAGATCTATTCTGCCATGTAAGTAAGAGTTCCTGCAGTCTGCCAAGAAGCTACAACACATATTGTTGCAGAATAAAATGATTCTTTACCCTAAAAGCTCTGATAAAAAACATTGTTTATTTTTATGGAGGATCTAAATACAACAGCAGAAACTAACACCACAAACACACAGGAACAGGAACTGGCATGACATCAGAAATAGGAAGTGAACTAAATACAAACAAAATAAGAAACTAGACGAAATAAAACAGAAATGTGATAAATAGGAAGAGAAATAAAGGAAAAAAGCCGTGGAGCTCAGCATGAACAGTAATTCTAACTATAGTGGGTTTAAATGCTGAAATTAAGTCTTTTCCTTTGATTATATAGAAGAATGTGAACTTATTGTTTGGTCAAAAATACATTGGATATTTACTATGGCGTTTCCATGACATACAAATTTCTTGGTTGAATTAAAATGATTTTCCAGTGGTCTGAATAATTTTGGGTTTGATTATAATACACAGAGAAAAACAAGATAAGCTTGATTAAGTCTGAAGCTGACGATGCGTTCATGAGCAGTCAGTGGTCTGGGCAGAGCTCTGAACGTCTCCGTTGGCCTCAGCTCGGTCTGCAAAGGAAAGTAGAACAGAAAACATGGCGGCTTTGCAATGAAATCATAAAGACATGAATGTTTGAGGCAAAATGAATTAAAAAACAATTTCCAATGCTATTGCTTCATTAAGCCAGGAGTGAAAGGCCTGAATGCAATGATTGTCCAGAATCAGTAAGGATGTTTTTCTGTCCCATTAAAACTGATGGTTCTGATTTTCACATGAATTCATTTCAGATTCTGAAGCAGCAAAGCAGCCCAGATCATCACAGCCGTCACCGTGCTTAGCTATGAGGTTCCTGTTTAGTTTTAGGTCAGATGATTCATGATTCATGATTTACATGTTTTCCAGTCTCTCTGTTTTTATTGCTGAGTCATGAACTCTGACCTTAACTGAGTCTGGGGAGCTTTAGATTTAATTATGGGATATTTTATGACCTCCTGGAGTAATCATCGAGAACTCTAGAATGGTAAAAGTTAAACGATAAGTAGCGATAATTGTTCCAACTTATCAACAATTATCACATTATTCACATCTTATCTGCTACTGAACAGCTTCAAATGTTATTCCAGTTAGAAACGTCTTTATTTACCACATTGTTCATGTTTTAATGTCTCCTTACCTCGAGCCCAGTTTCTGTATATGATCAAACACATAATGAAGATGACGGTGTAGATGATGAACAGCACAGTGGTGATCAATATCATCAGTAAAGGAGGCGTATGAGGCGGATCGGCGCTTTTGGTGGTTAGCTTTACACAGAGAAATATGAGACATAATTTACAAAAAATGTCAGTGTGATTTATTAAGCTTTACCGAATAAAATATGATAAATAAACATATTAATTATTACAGCCTAAATTAAAATGAACTTGAACATTGAAATAAGCCGTAATATATCTGTGAACCTTAAATCTTGCTTTCAAACTGACTATGTATTAAAAATGCATCCATTGGCATTAGTGGTTTACATAAATCACTTTGTCTGCATGACTTTTATTGTTGCAGATTTACAACTTCAGTCAACAGGTGGTTATGTTTGAAAGTGTGACATTTAAATATGTTCAGTAAGTGATGATAGTTACGCTTGACGTCCAGCCAGGCGTCCAGTGACTCTCCTCTGCTGGATGTTTGCACTTGTAGAAACCTTTGCTGGACATCGACACGTTTCGTAGGATCATCTCTCCTTCAGGCTCCGTTCCAATAAACACACCGTTTTGGTAGAAGGTAGCAGAGAAATGCGATGAAGATGTTTGATCATATCGTTCTTTGAAGGAGCAGCGAAGTGTGACGTCGTCTCCCACCGTCACAGGAAGTGCTGGACTCTCCAAGATCACAACACCAGCTGAAATGTTTTATTGAAATGAGTGCGTTGTCAAAAGTACAATACTTATAAAGTTTTAATGAAAAAGAGCTCACTGTTTATTGTGATGTTGAGGACGTTGCTGCACTCTCCTTGCTCAGACTGGCACCAGTAAAGCCCAGTGTCTGATTTGTAGACACTGTGGTTGATGCAGGAGGAACCATTCGGGCGGCCCCAGTATTCACATGAAGTTAACTTATTTGAGGCATTTCTCATCACCGTCCAGTTGCCGAAGTTTCCTGGTACTGAACAGCTCAGGTTGAAGGCCTCATAACGGAAGAACTGACGTCTGTTGGGTTCGATGCTCAGTGTGGCGACTGCTCAGACAGGAAACAACAGAGAAGCAGCTGTGGGTTCGACATCATTAGGTTAATGGTTAGACCTACATAGACCTTACTTTCATTTAAGCATTGAAACTACTGAGTTATTGATTGGCTCTTTTCCAATGAATCACTACAAAGCTGGTTAAAAAAACACAATGACTTCCACTGATGTTACAGTTCTGCACCAATATGCTCCTTGTTACACTCCTACCTGTTTGGTTTCTGTGATTCTGTGGAATAAACCTACTTTCTCATGGTTTCAGTCTTATAGTTGGAGAGTATTGCTAACTGTATTACTACTTAACAACCACAGCAGAGTTTCAGTACATCAGCAGATTTGAAACCTTTTTATGGGTACAGAATAAACGTCATTTGAGGAGTCGTTTTGGTGAGGTTGAGAATAAATATGTTTTCTTTCTATCTCTGTTAGCTAGCTGCTAAGCTAAAGCTAAAAGGAATGACATGTTAGGCAATGCCCTGAAAGCTAAGACTACAAGATACTAAGAGCTGGAGAACGCCGTCTTTGGGCCGTAACTTAGATAGAGGCTAACAAAGGAGATCACGACTTCTTCTGGGAAGCCATTTTGACTGTCAACTCTTAAAGGTAGCAGGTCGTAATGGACCAGCTGACTCTTCTGTAACGGCATACATGAAGAACTCAGCATGGAGACTGGATAATTATCCACAGTACGAAGGAAAAGCATAAAAAATGATCCATGATGTGAATTTTTTGCTTGTATTGTTTGCCTTTCTCCCATGCTTATTTCACCAAATTAGTGAAAATTTGGTGAATCTGAGAAAGGTATTCTCAGATTCACCTGATTAAAACAGTGAATCAAGTTAATAATACTCTGACGCTGTGGTTATGATTAACCATGCTTAACTGTGTAAGATTAAAATAGAAATATGTGGTTCCTGTGGGAAAGGTGCCCTGGACGAACCCCTCCTTCTGTTGCACACCAGCCAATTAAAATGTGAGCAATTATGTTTTTATTTGCAGCAGAAAGCAGGTATAGTAGCCTCTCAGTTCTCAACAGAAACAAAGAGAAACTTACCCGTTACACATGTATACAAGTAACAGCAAACTTGTTCAGGGGGCAACTGACACACAAGAGATATTATTTGCTAGTTTTTTGGGTGGGTCAACCCTTTTCTGATGCTGTCCTGGGAAAGAGCCGATTTAATCCAGAACAAAAACGACCAATATGAATGATTTAAAAAACTAAAAGTTTTTTTCTGTCTCAAACCAAGCATGTCTGAAGATTTTCAGGTTCTTATATTTAGGAAGGTTTTTATTTTATTTTAAGTGTTAATTCAGAAATGCCTCTTTCCATCCACTTCCTACGGAGCTTCTGTGATGAAGCGACAGTCAATTGCCTTTATCCAGCTGAGCGATCAGAGTAATTTGTGCATGTGAAGCATTAAGTTCATACACACAGATGTACGTGAGCAGCACGACTCATGAAAACTGAGAAATGATCAGCTTGTGTTGCTCTCTGATGTCAGAAAACTTTCACCTCTCACAGTCTTTCATGTGGCCCTGTTGTGTTGAGCCCATAATGCACTGCTGTGATTGAACTACTGGATGACCTTTGGTCTGCATAGAGACCACAATAAGAAACATAACCTATACAAAGAGAGAAAATCTTGATTGAGGTGTTGAAAGTAAAAAAAAAAGGTATTCTCACCAAGAAGCAGGCAAACAGATCCGAGCTCCATTGCAGACCAGCTCTCAGCTTATGATGGCTTCCGCTGTGTTTCGAAGCTCAAGCCTCTTCGCCCACATCCTGTTGAATTTCAGGTTTTAGATCTCCACTGAAAGTACGCAATCACAACTTCAGAATGAAAGTTCTTTTATGTTTGAACAATGTAAAGTGTATGAGATGCATATCTTCACAAAGCTGTGCAAAATTTATTCTGCAAAGAACTGCTGGTTATAAATTGCAACAGTTTCCAGCTGAAATGGTTGATAAGAGTCAGAAATCTATTTTTTGTGAATGACTGTTTAAAATCTGTTCCTACAGAAGAAGATGCAGTGCACATTGTGGAGAGGCTGACTGGCAGCAGTCACAGGGCTCACATCCATCCCAGAAGAAAGCAGAGCAAAGAAATCAAGGATCTGGATTTGGACACAGATCAGTTTCCAAGTGAGAGAGAGGACTGGATTTACAGTGGTGCCGATGAACAAAGGAAGCACAACTTGATCATTTCTCTGATGCAAGTTGAGAACGCTACAGAACAACATCCTGTTTAAAACAGGAAAAGAATAACATGCTACATGATGCTTTCATCCTGGGAAAGGCCAGAGTCGCCCCTCTTAAGAAAACTTACAACCCAGGCTGGAACTGATGACTGCTGCAGTTTGCAATCCAAGAGAACAAACTGCTGCAAAAACAGTTTCAAATAAAGATGAAAAAACTTGTTTTATGCACTGATAGCACAACAATACTAAAATACATCTCCAATGAAATCAGATGATTTCACACCTTCACTGCAAACAGCATTTCTGTCATTCTAGAAGCAACAGATGTGAATCAGTGGAGAGATTTTCCCTCCATGGAGAACTCTGCAGATTAATCACTGAAAAGCAGAAGATGATAAATGGACCACAATATCTCCACAGGTGAGAAGAAGAACAGCTAAACTGGATGGGATCATCCTGCAGATGAGCCAGAGGTCAAAAAGGTCATAACAGTGAGTGTTAATGTGAAGGAATCACAAAGTGCTACAAACTCTGATGCATTACTTTCCATCAGGTTTTTAAGCCTTAAAAGCTTAAAACCGTGTGATAAAGACTGTTGATCATTTTCTGCAGCAGAGGGCGCACTGTTGCAGCTGATGACTGTCTGTGTATGGCAGGCTGTTACAACATTACATTCCAGATATCTGAATTTGGTTTGCAAGTAAATTGATCTCGCTTTTTGTTATGAGTCATAATTCTGTTAAAAGATACTTTGAAGTTATTTAACATTAAACACATAAACTCTTTTAGGTTTTCAAAACCGTTTTTAATTGTATTTGTCAGACACAAATAAAAGGAAATTCTTCAAGTCTATGAAGTTTTGTGTTCTCTATATCTTCCACATTGCTGAGTTTTTCTACATTGTGGCATCAGGGCAAGACGCCAAACCTCTGTTTCAACACTAAGGAGCTTACACACAATTCTGAATTCAGAAATCTAAAAATGTAATTCTGACTTGCCATAGATATGTTTTATGGCAGGCTGTTCTAACATACATTTGGTTTTTGACTATCCTTATTACATTCTGCATGTGCATAGTGGTCCTCTCTGGGTTCTCCAGTTTCCTCCCAGAGTCCAAAAACATGACTGTCAGGTTAATTAGTCTCTCTAAATTCTCCCTACTTGTGAGTGTATGTGTGTGTGTGCAGGTTGTTTGTCCTGTATGTCTCTGTCATTAAATCATCATTTATTCTCCATGTCAAAAAATATATATATTTAAATTATCTTTAACTTAATTGGAATTTAATTTAATTGGAATTATGACTAGTCAAAACTAAAATCGAGATATGTTGAAATTACTTCATGTCTAATCATAATTTAATTGTAGATTTCATGTGTTATTCAGATGGTCAGTAATTCATTGTAGATATCGAGAATTGAAGTCTCCATACAAGTCAATGGTAAATGTGACGTCATATCTGCTGTTCAGAATGTAATTAGAGAAATCTCAAATAGAAATGCTGCCTAGACAAAATATAATTAGAGAAACGTTAAAACGCTAAAACGTGTAGTAATAAAACAATTTGAGATATCGGGAACGTAAAGGCGGTAAAACCGAATTTATGCTAAATTGGCTTGCCATACGGCAGATAACGCTTTAACTTTCTATTTCCTTTATCTCAATCTACAGACGTGGAAAATCTCCGAGGGGAAAACTTGATATTAAACTGTTTTCCTGAACGTGTTAAATATCCGGACCTGAAATCTGAATCTGAGCCACAAACTGATCAGTTTGTAGTGAAACATTGAACTATTTCATTCTGAAACAAGGAAATGAAGACCAAGGTGAAAATAACGTTGGTAACTATAGGACTGTGTGGTAAGTTATTTTCTCATTGGAAATATTTATAATTAATATAAACTAAAACATATAAACTAAACCGCAGTTTTAAGGTGGAATTAAACTTGCGCATTGTTTCCTATCTAAACGACCCTGAGAGTTTATAACATGTATAAATCAAAACGGTGTAATAAAATAAAACATCTTGTAATAAACAACAACAGGCTTCAGGTCTACAACTCAAAACATTACTGAAGAAAATGAGGTGAAAACTGTCCTGCACTTCAGCAGGTCATTATATGCAGGTCAGTTTATAATATGTGGATTTAAACTGATTTAAACTTAATAACAGCAGGTTGTTATAGATCCATACATGATGTAGATTTACAAAAAGAGGACACTAACTTTTTACATATTTTATATTTCTACTGTGAAAAAACATACAAGATAATGGTTACATGAACTGGGAGTTGACTGGGAATTTCTGTCCCTTCCTCTCTGAAACCCAGTTGTCTGCTAAGCAGTGGACATCTTAGAAATGTGTTTATTTGCAGTAATTTCAGGCAGTAGTTGCTGCTGATGGAAACATTCAGAAATAACCACCAGCATTTATTCCTGGTCGACTGTCATCTGAAGTCATTCAGAAATTGACTCAAATCTTTCTCATCTGACAGATCTGTGATAAAGTAGTTTTATAAATCTGTTTATAGATGCTTATAACATCTGTTAGAGAATAAGAACAAGTATCACAGTCAACATTCTGCAGCAGTTTTACAATTGCTGTAAACTTTTTAATGAAACAAAATATGTCGTCTATTGAACTGATATTTTGAGATTGTTTGTGCAGATTATAATTATAATATAAAATTATTAATTATAATACAACAACATTATATCCAGGGTTTTTATTAGTTTTAGTAGTTTATTCTATCATATTTCCTATATTGGTAGATTACTGCCTGGACTCAAACTGCTGCCTCAACGGCCCAATAAACCTGCTTTGCTTGCACAGTGAGATTCTCATGAGATGACTTTATTCAAGTTCACTTAGCAAAGACAACAATATGTTTCTTTTTCACTTATATGTACTGACTTACTAGACTCTTAAGTTTATATTTAATTATTATCCTCTTTTTCAAAAGCCCTTTTTTACCACGTTTTTACAAAAGAAAGAGGATCGTCATCTGAACATGGTGAGTTTCATTCTTTACCATTTAATTTTCTATCTGTATTTTAAAGCAAAGGTTTTGAATCTGCACTAAGAGTCATTGTGTCACAATCAGAGTGAATGTTCAAAAAAATATGAAACCTTTCTTTCATTGAATTTAATCACTTATTAAATGAACACAATGTTGCGCAGATCTGCTCATTAGTTCAGATGTGGGTGCATGAATAGACATTTGTGTGTGCACACACATACACACATTGGTATGCCACTCTGCAGCACTTCTCAGCAGGTGAAGGAAATCTGGCCCAATCAGCAGCACCATCAACTCAGGTATATAAGGAATCCACTAACCACTTTACTGGTTTTGCAACAGAGCTGAGGAAGGCAAACACAGCCTCCAAAGCAGCATTTCATGGAAAAGGACTTATAAGGACTACCGGTAAGCCACTAACTGGGCTCAATTGAATGTAATTTGACTGTAGTTTTACATTTGAGAAATGAAATGAAGAATTTATTGAAGTAACAGTTTACACTGCTAGTTTATAGTTTGGTTCCACTAAATGTATGTTAAGATATCTAATGTAAAAAACCTTATGTCCTAAGGAAAAAAACTATAATTCTGAAGTGTGATTTGTTTGATTTGTTTGATTCAAATTCAACCAGACATAAAATTTAATAATTTAATATTGTGAATTTGAGGTTAAAAATCTAATTAATCATTAAGATAAATTAACTTTGAACCAAATGTCTAAAATGTATGTTAAAATATTTTGTATGTGTTTTGTAAATTTTTCACCTGTTCTGTTCATTGGTTCTCACTCATTGGTGAAAATAAAAAAGATTGAGTGAATTCCTGATGTCTTCAAGTCCTCCTTTTCAAGTGTAGGAAGCCATGAAATTATAAGACATTTGACAGTGAGGCGCTTTTTCCATCTTTGCAGCCCGGCTAACTCTACCTATTTTTATGTAAGATAAAATAAAAATAGTAGTAGTTGAGGAAATGCTGAATTTTATACACAAGCACAGCCGTAAAAACAGAATAAATCTCATGAAGTGAGATTCCAGTCCTGTCTGTCAGAATAAAGTGAAAATCAAAAGAATCAGGCAGTTTGTCAACATCACATCATCTACCCTGCGGATAGTCAATGGGGGTCGCAGGTTAGACGATGATTTCTTCCAGCACAAATTTGAGCATTTAGAATATAGAATATAGAAAACAACTATATTTAGTAGAAATATCTGTTCTACAATTTGCTTTCAAAGTAAAAAAAATTAATGAAAAATGAATGAGTTCTAATGTTCCTCATCTCTGTCTGTTGATGCCACTTTTTCCCCCCCAGGTCAAGACAATAAAAGAGATTTAATGTCCAGCAAGGAGGATAAAACAGCAGTGATTGGGACAAATATCACTTTGCATTGTGGCATAGCGTCTACTTTACAACACAATGACATTTTGGAGTGGAGTAAAGGCAATGACGAGATCTTAACCGTAAAAAATGGAAACGTCGAGAAGGAAAAAGATTACAAACTCAGATTCCACCTAGCAGATTCTGCCAGCGGACTCAGCACATCGCTCAACATTTCACATGTAGAGCACAAAGATAGTGGAAGTTACAGCTGCTGTATTAAAAATACTAAACAACGTTGCATCTACCAGAATGTTGGTAAGATTTTAACACCTTATAAACACAACAGATATGTGCTTGTCTTGATATTTTAAACCAGTATAATCTAAAATCACATCCTAAATACATTTCAGAAAATTTTGATTTGTTTAAATGCTTGTTTAACAACATATGTAAACAAATTCTGTAAAAGAAATGCAGATGTTTTCAAAATGGTAGCATATGAAGTTCACAAGTAAAATTATGTGTTTCTGTTTTGTGAGAAAAATGATGATGCACTTCTAACGTTAATTTCTGGTCTGTAATTTTGCTTTACAGTCGTGAAGAATGAATCATTTACAAAGCCAGGTCAGATAATCCATTACTACAAATACAGTAGCATAGCTATGATATAATATCCCAGTTTCTTTATGAATTTTTACTGTTTCGCTTTGATTAAACTCAGAAGATGGTGGAAAAATGTTGGCATCTAAAATTTCAGAGGCAAATCTATAATATAACACCAGTAAAATATATTTTCATGTTATGTTTGGTATTTAAGTTTTATTCTTTTTTTTGTTGTTGCAAATTAGATAAAGAAGAACAAAGAAATGCATCAACTTCCTCCACATCCCCACCTCAGAATGGTAAGCAATGTTGTTTTGACAAGAATAAAAAAAAAGTTACTTTGTGCAAACAGTTTGCATGTGATGTAAACTTTTATACACTGGCTGTAACCCAGAATCCTTTTCTTTATTTCAGAAACCATGAATGGCAAATGGATTACTGTTGCTGTTTTTGTTGCTGTTGTTGTTGGTGTTGGTGTTGTTGTTGGTGTTGTTGGTGTTGTTGGTGTTGTTGTTGTTGGTGTTGTTGGTGTTGTTGTTGTTGGTGTTGTTGTTCTATTGAGAAGAAAATGGTCCAAAAAGTAAGTTATTATTTTTTTGTTTGACAATAATTCTAAATTTAGTAAATATAAGAACAATAGGAGTTTCTGTGCTGTTATTTTATCTTGATAAATTCACAGTATTTCACTTTACCTAATATACCTACATATTAGTTATATTAAGTCAAACCTGTTAAGCTCAACAACATTTTCACTAAAAGTCTTTTATTGTCTGTTTTACAGAAGGAACAGGAACAACAGTGGCTCAAATAACCAACCAGAGTCACCATTACAAATGGTACCATTACAAATGGAATCCTCCTCCGAGGCAGAGGAGGATTTCTCCAGAGTGAAGAGATTGTATAAAGTGGTGACATCACAACTCCTGCTTTTGTAGCAGATCATGGTCAATATTAATGGTCACCACCAGACTGTTGATTGTTTTAAGCCTCCAAAGCATCAATTTCCCCTTTATTGTCTTCTTCTTCAAACTGTTTGTGACTTTTTAAAGAAGCACAAAAACATAAAACAAACTTTATACATCAATTTGTTAAACAGATTTTTTTTTTGCATAAAATATACATAAAAATAATTGTTCTTTTAAAAAGTTGTTGTAGAAAAAACTATTTCACCAAGCACTGACAGAAGAAATCACTCAGTCAGGTTTATTCACATATTGATCACAGCTCAGAGAGCTAATAGGACAATCAATAATGAAGCAGGTCTGGATGAAAAGCTCTGCCAGGAAGAGACAACATGAGTTTAATACCAAAGATCCAAAACAAGCAGAGACTTTCTGGTTCTGATGCAGCTGCAGAAATCAACATCCAACCCTCTACATGTGACCCAAATGGTTCTCTTGATGAGTCCACAAGCATTTCATACGACAGGACCAGCAGATGTTAACCTGGAGTAATTCTCCACCACAGAATCTTGTTTAATTCTGACTGGTTTGTGTTAATAAATGCACTTCAACTTAAATGATAATCCCCTTGTTTTAAACAGTATCTTAGTAAAAGTCTGAGAAGTAAATGAGGTTTGTTAATTGTGAATGAGGCAGATTGTTATTAAAACATGAATGTCTGTCACTGTCTTCACATGTACAAATTTCGGTTTACAAAGCTACATTTACTTTGCCCCTTAAATTTCGTTCAATTTTATATTTTGATGCAACTGTGAGAATAAAAACACTATCTCTGTTTTCCTTTTGAAAATGATTTCTCTTGCTCTTGTATGGTGTATATAGTCATATATTAATCAGTGTCAGTGAAAAACATGACAATCAGGATTTTATTAGATATTTTTCTTTCTGCTGAAATGAGCCTTTATAATTTTTCCAGGTGAAATTAAATGTCAAAAAAGGGAACATAATATAAAGTCATGTGATAATAAAGCACAATGTTCATAAAATAATGTGTCATTTTGTATTATATTAATTTTTGTATAAACATCACCAGTCAGATGGACATCAGTGTAAATAATAATACTAGTTTGTTTTGTTATTGAATAAAACCGCTCAGCTTGGACATGAACACTTTGTTATCTACTGGCTTCACATGGTAATATTGACTTTTTATCTGATGTTTCTTCATCACTACATGATTACCAGAATAGATTTTAAATACTTGTATGAACAGTGAGGGTCATTTTACAAAGCTCATAAAAGTGAAAGTGAAAACACAAGTGTTTCAAAAGTCCACATAATCCAAAGTAGATACTTTAAACTCTTCAGGATCGTTTCTTTGTTGTGATTTTGTCTGTAGTTGGGTTGGAATAATGCATGAAGGATTTGCAGCAAAGCCAACAGATCAGGGAGCTTTTCTTCCAGTTGTGTCATTAAGCCAGGATTAATATCTGTAATAATCTCAGTGTGTTGATTTAGATAAGCAGTGAACAGTGAGGCCAAGAGGCAGGGAATATAGATGAAAAAAAACTAACACCTTAAATATTTCTTAACAAATCATACACTGAAAAGTTATATTAACACATATTAAACATCCCTTAAGTACTCACATAAAACAACTGGAAGAATAAAATCAATAAAATAACATAATTACACATCAGTAGTGATGTAACTTATAATATCTAATTGTTATCTGACTTATTTCTCCCCATAGTTACAATTTGTGGGTGTTTTAAATTATGTTTTTATTTGTGTTAAATGTAAACTTTTTGGGAATTTCTGTCAAATGTTCTTGTTCTTTGTGTTTCCATCAGGTGATCTGAGTTAAACTATTTTATTTGGCTCTTAAATGAGTTTTACCACCAGCACTGAGCATGCAGACCATGGAGCGAGAAAATAGTAGGAAATGTAAAATAGTTGAGTTTAGTGTGAACTCTTTGGAAAAAGAAACAAATGAGTGGATAAAAATATCTGTGTACACAAGTTGAATTTTCTTGAATGAACACTACGGGGTTAATGTGTCAAGCATTAAGACAGTAGGGGAGTTACTCTCACAAACTCATTAAACTTAGAAATATTAAGACAATTAAAGAAAACTAAAAGTTTTTTATAATCTAAGTCTTTCAGAAACATTAATAAGACCTTATTCATGCTGCTACAGCAAGTATTATGTCTAAAGTGAAAGTATCTGTAGGACAAAGTGTAAAGGTAAGCAAACTAAGCCAGAACCCAAAACGCAGCCAACACAGGAGAAAGTTAAATCAGAAGTTTTAATGACAAAAAAATAATAATTTCGATGGGACTGAACGGGGTGGGAAAAAATGAGCAGATAAGGGAGGAGGGATCCACAGGGGACAGGGATCCAGCCGGGGGTGGGACGAAGTAGGATGACAGGACAACAGACAGTCTTGGGGGCTCAGAGAACAAACAGACCACAGGGGCAAAGTCCACAAACCAGAGACGGAGTAGAGAGACGATCCAGGGTCATACACAGGAGAGCAACAGGCACAGATAATCCAGCAAACAGCAAGCAGGAGGCAGGGTCGGCGACATGCAGGGTTCTTTAACAGGAGATCAGAGTACTTTCAGCAGCCGAAGGACAAGGCAGAATCTAAGGTCAAAAAACAGGCAGGATCAGTAAACCAGAAAACTCCTTGGGACATGAAACAATGGCTTGAAAGCTGTGACA